GAAAGTCTTTGAACTATTTTCGATGTCACTGTATGTTCGGATTTTCCACATATTCTTGCATGCTAATTATATGTATTTGCTTCTTATACCCTAAGTTACAAGCCCTCCAAGAACTGGACTGCTAGCTTCATCTTTATCGGAGATATACCTTTTGGAACGGAGCGAGCGTTGTTGGCGACGATCAGAGGTGCGATAGGTGGTGCCGGGCCCCCCAAAAGTGAAAGTGGTTCCAGCTACCACTGACCGGCCAAAAGTGAAGGTTGTAGTGCCAGACTCACCTCCCAAAAATGTCGACGGGCGGGGGGGGGGGGGGGGGGGGAGGGGGAGGACGGACGAACAGAGCTATCTTTCTAGGTCGAACTGTGATCCAACGGCCCTCTTTAGGGCCACAGATACGATAAATATTAAAAATATTTATAAATTTCATTTATAAAAATTTAAAATAGACGTGTTTAGTAAATGGTGTATTTGGGGGTAAAAGTTTGTTTAACTGTACGGATTTTATTAAGTAAATTTTGTCATAACATACTGCGAAGGAAGTAGGTCGATTTAGGCAGTACCGGCCGAGAACCAGAATTTTGAATATTTACATAGTAAAAAATCATGCGAAATTTCCACTGCTATAAATCTGTTGTTTGAAGATGTCAGCAGTTGCGACTTCATAGGTTTTAAAGAGTAAATGGTGCTCTATCAGATAGTGAAGGAATCGAGTCGATTTGAGAGGTAGTCGTTGAAAACCAGAATTCTAAAAATTCACGCCATTTTTGCGTGTTTTTTGACAGTTGACAGTTAAACTCATATAAATCTTGAAAGTGAAAGTGTGTGATGTTGCGACTTCATAGGTTTTGTAGAGTAAGGTTTGCCTTATCAGAATATATCTTAGCCGTTCCAATCCATTGAAACACCTCCGAGATCCAGAGTCTTGAAAAAGCAGGTAAAAATCCGCTTTTTGAATTTCAACAGCTCATAACTTCTTCAGAATTGCAGGAATCATGTTGCGACTTCATAGGTTAGATTCTTCTCATCAAGAGCTTTCAGATGATATATAATATGTGGGGGTTTCGCGCCTTTCACGGCATATGCCCGGGGGTGGAGGCTTTTCACCCCAAAGTCTCCACTGGCGGTCTCCGGCCAATACATTAACATGGGCGAGGTGGAGACTTTGGGGTGAAAAGTCTCCACCCTGGGTTAGAGCCGCGAAAATCTTTGAACCCCCCACATATTATATACCATCTGAAAGCTCTTGATGAGAAGAATCTAATCTATGAAGTCGCAACATGATTCGTGTAATTCTGAAGAAGTTATGAGCTGTTGAAATTCAAAAAGCGGATTTTTACCTGCTTTTTCAAGACCCTGGATCTCGGCGGTATCTCAATGGATCGGTACGGTTAAGATATACTCCGATAGAGAAATTCTTGCTCTACAAAAACTATGAAGTCGCAACATCACACACTTTTACTTTCAAGATTTATATGAGTTTAACTGTCAACTGTCAAAAAACACGCAAAAATGGCGTGAACTTTTAGAATTCTGGTTTTCAACGACTACCTCTCAAATCGACCCCATTCCTTCACTATCTGATAGAGCACCATTTACTCTTTAAAACCTATGAAGTCGCAACTGCTGACATCTTCAAACAACAGATTTATAGCAGTGGAAATTTCGCATGATTTTTCGCTACTTTGTCATTCGAAATACTGGTTCCCTGCGGTTACTGCCTAGATTGACCTACTACATGGGAATATGCTCTCAATACTTTCTTTTACTTTCCTTTTGCTTATTTTCCTTCTTTTAAGCTTCAGCAAAAAATTTTTTTCAAACCCAGAAGTGAAGGTGGTCACCCGGTATCAGCTCAAAAGTGAAGGTAGGCGGAGACTCGGCTCCGACTATCGCACCTCTGGCGACGATGCACGAGGAGAGAATGGCTAACCAGCAGATTGCGCGGGTTCCCCAGATTTTACAAATCAGCGTCGTTTCCACCTTGCGTCATTTCCAGGATATGAACAGCACCCGAACTGCTGTGAGAGTGATAAACTGGCTACTGCGGACACTCACAAAATTCTGAAAATCGTTCGCCAGCGCCATCGTCGCAATCCGCGGAGAAGCTTGATTGAGCTGGGTTCAAAGCTGTTCATCTCTAATAGAAAAGTCTCCGTTATCGTGGAACAAGGCCTTGAGATAAAGCTTTTAAAGATGCTAATAATTCATGCTTTTTGGGAAGATACGAAGCTGATTTGACTGCGCGGATGTCATCAAATGCCTGAACGTGTCTCCAGGCACGCCATCAAACATACTCTGTTTCGACGTCAATTTCAACGTAAAGAAGGTTTTTGATCGCCAAAACAACTGAGTCACCACCTAAACGCCTCAAGAAGCCAAAAGCAGAAATTGACTTGCAGAAGGAAAGCTTCATCCGGTTTTTGTGACAATTTGCGCCGCGATCGCTTCCGACAGCCAAATGCTGCTGATTTTTAGGGTTTCAGTGCTCAAGGTGGACACTGCCACTCATGTGAATAGCATCCTGAAGAAAGAATTTTTGCCCTGGACCAATACCATTTGCCGGGAGCGATTGGTGCTTACAGCAGAATAGCCACCTGCGCATTAAGTGAAGGTTGTTCAAGCATGGCTCCAAAGCAACGTTGTAGACTTCATTGCTCCTGCGGAATGGCCCCTTTATTGAGCGGATCTTAATATTCTTAACTACCGCAAGTGGTCAGTTTTTTAGGCCAATGCCTGCGCTCACTCACGCAAAACTGTGGAGCAACTCGACGAGCTCTTCAGAATGCATGGGAGGAACTCGTCATGGAGTACCTCCGTGCCGCCGTGGACACTTTCCCAAGCGTCTTCGAGCCTGTGTTCGCGCCAAAGGAGAGATCTTTGACATGTAAAGTGGCTTTCATATAGTAAACTGTTTGATAAACATTATATATTTATTTCATGTAAATATGTCACCTAGTTTCGTGACTACGGTCAAAATACCATGTTTAAAAACTTTCCCCTAACCCTGTATTTACAGTTAAGTGGGTTTCGAGGAGTTGATACTAAACTTATCTTCCGTATCTACTGCGGGATTCTCTGCAAGTCATGAATGGTTAAAGATATGAAATTATTGGGGTTCTAGTAACATAATGGGCATTGAAATCCAGCTTGAGACTGCATAACTAGCAAGTTGTAGTACCATTTCCATCCGCTGCTTGCGATACTTCATTATTTAGATGACCCGCGAGCACTACACAGGATGATTCTTGCAAACAGCTTGTAAGACACTTGGCAGACTGGTCTGTAACTTTTGAGATCCTCCTTGCCTTTCTTTTAAAATAGAATCGCTTGGGATGCCCTTCACCGTTCGAGCATCTTTTTTTTGTCGCGGATGGAAAAAGTTTGTTATATAATTATCTCATTATCCCCAACTTCGCGCAGGCAAGTTCTTTAGTCCCTCCTTATTCAGTAATTGTAATGTTGTAATGTAATGTATCTCGTTCCGCAAAGCTTTTTGCTACATCTCTCTAGGCTCCTCCTTTTCTGTGCTGCTACGTACGACATTGCAATATTTCATCTGTTGTACAGTACAGTGTTCCTACAGCTGTTGAACAGCACTTGCTCAAGACGCGGTGTATGGATTCGCGTGTAGGTCTTTTCCTTTTTTTTCATTACACTAACAAGGGAAGCTTGTTTGGTCGAAGTGGCATTTCCAGATGAGATGTATACCATATTGAAGCGCATAAAACGCTGATTCCAAAACTGTCTTTCTTATCTGCAGAACGTTTATGGACGAGAAGTTATGAGCGTTTTTTGGAGCCAAAAATTTTTTTGGAGCCAAAAATTGAATGTGCATTTTGAATAAAATGAGTTGTTAGAATCTTACTAGCCTTCAAACAACGTAACCAAGTGTGGTATAATTTTTATTTTAGAGTAATTTTCAAGTGAAGTGTTTTGGTGATTATCATTGCTCCGTTGAAGAGCTAGAAAAAGTATTACGGTTATTTTTGTCACACTTGCACATTCAATTTTTGGCTCCAGAAAACGCTCATAACTTCTCGTCCATAAACGTTCTGCAGATACGGAAGGCAGATTTGGAATCAGCATTTTATCCTCTACAATATGTTGTGCATCCCATCAAAAAAGGCCACTTCGACTAAACAAGCATTCCTTGTAAGAAGTGCGCGCTAAGCACGGCTGCGTAGTCCCTCAACCATTCCCAAAATCTTCTGTTGGATTTCTCATTCCCTCCAGTCATCATATCTGGAAATGGCTTTCTAGAGAATGTTCGTCGTACACAAACTTTCTTTTGGATTCCGCGTGACGACTGGACTTCCTTTCCATTCTCTGACTGTTGTAGATCTGCATGATGTAGTCGTTTCTAACCTTTGCGAACGACAGGACTATTCGACATCGATCAATCCCTTGTTCGATATACGATCGATCTCCGTATGTGACGTATCGTTTGGTTAATCCCACGTCCAACAGCGAAACATACAGTTCCCATTCAAAGGTATTCTAAGCCTAGTTTTGGAGACTTCCTACCCATCGATCTCATACTTATGGCGAATGTAGTAAATGTGTCAACCATTTTCTTTTGAGTAGCTTCGTACAGAGGAAAAAGCCCAGAGCAAAAAGTTTTAGGTCGAGGTTTACCCTCAACACGATCTTTGAACTTCTTTTGTGATGTATTGTCAGCCAGCGAGTCACCACCGCTTTGCAGACGCTCGCGTAGCCATTAAATCAGATGAACTTACATATTGTCATAACTTACACATGTCAGAACAGAGTTTAGTTGACAGGCCGCAAATACAAAAGGGATCTTTTATGCTGATAGACCATCAAGTGTTTGCAAGTGTTATAAAGCAATATTTTTTGATTTTAGTGAGAAATACGTACAAAGATGAATGAGCGCGTTATCGCGTGAATGTTAGGAACGTTGATTTGTAATGGATGTAGTTTCCGCAGTTTACAATAGGCAAATGCACCACGTATGACCACAGCACATATAAATCTTTAAGGCTCTCGTATCATGACAGTCGACTCTGCAGGTGTCCCTCCGGAAAGAGTAGAAATAGTATATGCATTTTTGGAATAGAAGATCTCGGAATCTTAGCATCGAGTCCCAGACTTATCGCTAACAAAGTGAGGTGCTGCAAACTCAGAAACAACCCACCATATAGTAAACATTGCAGATTCTCCCCGACTATGATTATGCTGTCGTAGACTGCGTTCATGAGCTTCTATTCAACAGAACATTTAGGAACCTCGTCAATCCACACTTTGAGTTGCAGTATTACAAGGAACTGCCACATGTAATTAGTTAATAAAAGTTGTGTGAACCAAGTTTCTAGTTCGTTGCCCTTCAATGTAAAAGCGTACTTTGTTCAATTATGGTAAAATTGAGAGATGAAAGAAGACAGATCTAAAATTTTCAGGTGCAATACCATAGAAATCATTCAATCAACTCGAGCAACGAAATAGACTGTTCCACGAATTTTCGCACCATTCTAAAAAATAAGGATATCAACAGGAGAAGGGCATGCAGATTTGGCTTTTTTTCTATGTTTTAAAAGCTGAAAAAATGGCTTTTGTAGTTTGGCGTGAAAACATCTTTGATTTTTTTGTAAAATCGAGTCGCAAATGGTTGTTACTGTACATATTGTAGATAAATATTCAAATAGACCAATTACCACTTTGGAAGACCTGTTTGGGCTTTTTATTTATGTTGCTTCTAGTCAGTGCTGCTAAATGATGGTGTCAGGCTTCGGCTAAACTTCCCATCAATAAGCGGTGTACGCACTTTGTCGAAAAAATGCAAATCTTGCAAAAACCAGAGAAAGGATAACAAACGTCATCGAAACTGGACGGTGCTTCAGATTCTTGTAACAGGAGCGAAAAGTTAGCATCACGGACAATTGTCGAGCCTTGGTGGGTCGCTGGGCTGTGTTTTTGCGAGCGGTTGAGCAAACCTCGGGGGGGGGGGAGGCTGAACCAGCGGTCCCCTCCCAGCATTATAAGCTTTGCAGACGGGCTGCGATGCAGCATTTCCTAGAATGCGTATGCAATTTTGTCAGCAGAGCTCATCATTTAATCGGCACTTTTACTTTGACAACAGCAAAGCGGTCACCTTTTGCAACGTTCGCTTTCGGCTGGGAACAAAATCGCAGAAAATGTTACAATTTTCTTTTCACATATCCTCTTTCGTAGCACAGCTGACTTCATAGCAATTCTATTTTCAACATTTCTTTTAATGGCTCTAGAACTAGTGCACAATTTTACTTCACATTGTCAACGAGGAAGTCAAGATTTTGCTTTCTATAGAAATATTATTTGTGTCCTTTTTTTCCAAACTTTTATGTGTCGCCTATTTTTCTCCCATTCTCACTTTGACGTTCTTCATCTCTTGGAATAAGTCAAAGCTTTAGCTAAGAGTTGGTTTCATGACAACATTCTCTCCTATGTTCTTTGGATCCAGAACCTTAATCCAAAGAAGACATCTCGAAAAACGAAGTCCAAGCTTTTACGAAGGAGGCAGAGGAGGTTTGCTCTCATTCACCGCTAGAGATGAAAATATTAAAGTGAGATAGTATGTGTTTGGTCGCCCTGTCCTACTTACATAATATTAGGTTGTAAAGAAAGTTACCACGGACTTGCGAAATTTTTTTACCAAGGTGCTGTAACTTCAAGCACACTGCTCCTTTTGGAGAGCTGCAAAATTTTTGCTGCAAAACAATGTTGTAACAAGGTGGACCCATTTAGTAAGTAAGTTTGAGAGCTTGTAATTCTTGTGCGCCTGTTGTATCAAATCATTCCGAAAGTAATTTCGCTTTTTTCAAACGGACGCCACATGTGATGGAAAAAATTTTTTAAGAGATCTTGGTAGCATTTTCGATGCATAATTTTATTCTCTTTCTAATGGTCTTGAACTTATTGCAGCAGAATCCATGAGCTTGTGGAAAAATAGGAAAGTGTGCGATCCATGCTTTTTGAGATGCTCAGGTTTCATAATTTTTCTAAATTCTTACATTAACCCTCCGAAGAAGCCCAAATAACGATTCGATAGATTAAACCTCATAGGATACAGCATAACTTTTTTCTCGTTTTTATATCTGACCGTAATTTCTTAAAAGATTTATTATTAAACCATCGAATTTTGACAAGCCTACGTCAGCCACATTCATATCAAACACCAATAAATCTTTGGAATTCAAAACTTCCAAGATGATATTATGATTTAACACTAGTTTTGCAAAGCGAATGAGAGTTTACGGGATCGAAATATCTAATTTCGATTTTTTCGGATACAGCCCGGAACGTGTTCGAAAATGTGATTTATGATTATTTTATAGCGAAAACTCCATGAAGCGGAAACAAAAAGCATCCATTAAAAAGAGGAGAACAAGCTGCATCGAATGACGCTCGAGCTGCTTACCGTTTAATGTTCTACGATGTTTGAGCTGGCCAAGAATGGAATTTGGTAGCATCAATCAAAATTCTATTAAAAAATTTTGGTGTGAAGGAGAAAATAATGATTTTGTATCCTGTAGGGTTTGCTCTATAGAATCGTTACTTGGACTCCTTCGGAGGATTGACCTACAAATTTGGAAAAACTGTGAAACTTGAGCATCTTAAAAAGCACGGATCGCTGACTTTCGTAATTTTCCACAAGCTCATGGACTGTGCTGCAATAGTTTTATAATCTTTAGAAAGAGGATGAAACTCTGCATCGAATGCTACCAAGATCTCTTATAAATCTTTGTTGCTTCACATGTGGCGTCTTTGAAAAAAACGAAATTACTCACGGAATGACCTAATATTAGGTTACATTAAGTCTTGAGACACTTTAGTTTCTAACGGCAATATGTCACACACTTCACATTTTCAACAAGGGTCCAGGACAGGGTCAAGCGTGTTGATGCGATCCGGGACCCTCATTTACGACCCCCCCCCCTTGAAGGTACCCATCCGTACGACCCTCACCCCCCCCCCCCTTCCGCTCCCCGCCCCCTCCCCCCACCCTCCCCCATCTAACTCCCTTACCTCCCCTGCCCACATTCCTCGCGGTAACCTGCATAAACAAATGTCAATCTCAAAAAGCACCTGCGTGAGAACTTCAGTGAGGTTTCGGAAGCAGAATTTCTAGGCCAATGGGTGCGCCCAGCATCTCTAGCACATATACACACCTTCAATAATGTTCGAGAATCTGCAAGTTTTTTTTGAATTTTCAGGCATACTTCAGACCAGCAAATTCGATTTCCGTAGGCGACACAAATTTTTGCACAAAGAAAAAACGACATTTTTGAACTAAAAGATGTTTTCGACTAAGAAGCTTACTTCCTACCTCTTCCACAGTTTTTCCAGCGAAAAAAACCGCTTGAGCGCCGTCCAAAACGACTTCAAAAACGTGCCTGAGCACGGTAGTTTGAAAATTCGTAACTAAGGCCAGGAAAAGACTGAGAGGCTGCAAAGCACAGGTTCTGTAGTATAGTGCCCAGACTATCCACAGAAAAAGTTTCAGTTCTTGAGGAGCAGTAAGCTCGAAAAAGTTTAGATGCGACTCTCGCAGATTTAGATGCGATCCTAAAAAGCAAAAACTGTGATTTTTGAGCTTAAAGTTTTGTAACTTACCAGAGAAGTTATAAAACAGCTTGCAATTTTTATGAGGAAAATTAGGAGGATGGCCTCATATTACAGCAGAATTGCAGCCAACAAGCTTCAATAGCTCCGAAGAAATTTAGATGCGACCCAGATACGACCCCCCTTTCCTGATTTTTTGCTACCATACATAAATTTATAAGAAAATCCACAGTTGACAAAATTACACCAAATTTTGCACTTATGTCGCGGAGCATCTCCAAAGTACAGATAAATCATATGGGCCCGTGAAAAACACTACAAAAAGATTTAGAAATTTATGATGGTCACAGCTGGTAAAGATATTCGCTTTTGTCGAGTGTGTGAGACTTCGGGAGGGCTTCAGAAGCAAAATTCCTAAGGCAATCGGTACATTTAGCATTTTTATCAAATCATACATCCTTCAAAAGTGTTTTGAGCTCTTGTAAATGTTTTTTTGAGAATTTCTACAGATTTTTTTATCTTTTTTTATTCTAATTTCCCTTTTTTTATAGATTTATGTCAAAGAACATAACTAATTATCTGCTTTTTGATTCTCTTTTGAGCTTAAGGTATTTTAGCCTAACTTCCTCCTCTTACGACCCCCCCCCCCCACCTTAGGTACACTCTTTACAACCCCCCGTTGCGACAGTCGCATCACAAGCTAGACCCTGGTCCAGGATACCCTTCAATAGAGCAAAGCAAGCTGTACAAGATGGTTTGCAAAAGTTGCACCAACTTCGAGCCACCCTAATTTTGCATTTAAAATATGGGTCGTGCTGAAGGCTCAAAATCGCAAAAAATTCATATCTTCGTTCAAGGAAATTCTACGAATCTCCAATTTACTCACAAAAATTGCTCGCTACATTAAACACTTATATGTGCCGTTCTTGTATATTATTCATCTAAAAAATGAGAAGTTGAAAATTTTCATGTTTATACAAAAACGAGCTATGCTGTTTGTACTCATGTATTAAGTTGGCGGATAATTTCTGTCACAATTTTATTCTTATTTTTTGAAATCTAAGAAACTTTCGAGAATTTTTACGTTTGAGAAGTGTTGGCGGGGTGCAAAGGTCTAGCCGGTACTCTCAGTCCGCGGTCCATGTGCAAAACACCCACTTTATCGGTGGGAGTACATTTTATGGACATTTTTGTCAGCGAGTTGGCATTCTTCCATGTGATTGGGAAGTGACCGGGCGATGTGGTATTTAGGCAGGGTATGGTCCATAGTTTTTAGCGAACATAGGGGGATGGCGCAATCATGTCCGCACACGATCACATGAGCTACATGTTGCGCCATGTCAGCGCACATTGGCATTTTGACCTGAAGAACAATCCTCAAAAAATTACAAAAATTATTTCCAACCTTTACTCAAATCCTACACGATGCACACAAAAAAGAAAAATGTTCGGCGAGTTTTTGATATTTTTGAATTGTTTTTCACCCTTTGTTTTTGGCGTGCTAGTGGCACCAAAATGCTACCATAAAAGAGAGGATGCGAAAATATGTTCTGAAAAAATTATGGGAGAGAAACAATGAGACACAGAGAAAAAAAAAATTCAAAAAAAGACAATTTTGAGTATTTTTGTAAAGTTGTCGTAAAGTCGCTGGCTAATTGTGCATTTCCGGCATCAGTCGTATTGTTGTATACGCTCTGCAGTGGCCTACATATGGAGCAGCCTTGAAGATTCTAGAAAACTTCTGAATCTTTTCAGAATTTTACGAAAAAAGTGTGACAGAAATTGTCCGCCAACCTAATAATTGTTTACCACAAGCAATTAGAATATGACCGTAAATTTTCAGCTTCCTATAGGCTCTGATTTCCGAGAAATAGTGATTTCAGCATAAAACACCAGTGAGGAAAGTGAGGAAAACTAAACTCGGTAATTTTTCGAAAACTAAGGCCTTTGGGTTAAAAATCTACGGTTCTACTCCTAATGGCTTGCATTATAC